ATATCTTTCTCCCTTCTTTCTTTTGTCCATTTCCTCATCCCAGTTTTCCTTCACATTGAAGAGATTCTTTCCCTTTCATAGTATCTATGGTATCTTTCAGATTTTATTTACTCTTTCAGGTTCTCACATTAGTGAGGCACTCTGTTTGTACATACAGGTCTGATTTGTTTCATTTATTGGTATGGTCTCCAGTTGTATTCATTTACCTATAAAAGCCTCGAGTCTACCTTTTCATAGCTGGGTAATACTCCATTGTGTAAAAATACCACATCTTTATTATCCATTCCTTGTTTGATAGGCAGTTGGGCTGTTTCCAAGATTTAGCTATGACAAATTACAGTATAAGTTCTCATATGTGAAGCAGAAGACCCAATACTATTATGGACTACTGAACTCTTTTAGATTATTTTGCTGATAAACACACCTATAATATTCAAATAATGGAACTTAACAAAAAAAGGGTATACAGATGAATGTCCATTTTGATTTCTGTGTATTCAAAGTGGTTAGGATAGATATATAGTTACATTCTCTTAAAGAATAGAGTGATTTGTTCTAATGGTGTTTGAAGATAGGATATCGTGTCCGCATCTTGTACAGCAATTAACCATTGGGAAGAATGTATCCAATGTGTTAATTATTGAAACTGTCCTACCAATTTGATTTGAAACTGTCTCATTGTTATTTGTTTATCAATAAAATTATGGAAAAAGGAAACAAAAAAAACCAAATTACACTGCTATAGCACGTAAATCATGTAGTATGATATTTTCAGTTCATTTGAGAAAATATCTAGGAGGGGAATGGCTGAGTTCGATGAGGCTTCTAGTTCTAGTGTTTTGAGGAGTTTCGACACTGATTTCCATCACGGTTGTACCAGTGTATACTCCTACCAATGGTGGAGAAGTTTCCTTTTCCCCTACAGCCCCTCTCCAGCATTTGTTATTGGTTGACTTCTTAGTGATAGCCATTCCTTCTGGAGTGAGATGGAATCTCAGTGTTGATCTAATTTGCATCTTTTTAATGACAATGATGTTGAACATTTTTTCATATATTTACTTGCCACTTTATTTATCTGAGAAGCGTATATTCATCTCAGATGCTCACTTTTGGATTGGGTCTTTGAATTTGGAGGACCTGATTTTTTTTTTCTTCAGTACCAAGAACGTGCTTATGCCAATGTCTCCCCAGTCCCTGGGAACTTGATTTTTTTAAAAAAAACTATTTATATGTTCTAGATAGAAGTCCTTTGTCTGAGGCACAGTTGGCTATAATTTTTCCCAGTGGGTTTTATTTTTACCCTGTTGGTGATTTCTTTTGAAGTGCAGAAAGTTTTAAAAAAGATGAGATCCTAGTTGTTGATTCTTTAAAGTATCCCTTCTACAGTTTGATTATTGTTCATGAACTCTCTACCTACCCCTCTGTCTTTAAGATTTCTGCCTAATTTTCCTCCAAAAGATTTACTGTTTCAGTTTTAATATTTAAATCTTTGTTCTATTTCGACTGTAGTTTTGTGCATGGTGATAGACATGGTCTAACTTTAGTCTTTGGCATGTGGAAAGCCAGTGTTTCCAACACCATTTATTAAAGATGTTATCTTTCTTCCTATGAAAATGTTTGACCCCTTTGTCAAAGATAAGGTGGCTTATCTTTGTGTGTTTGTAGTTGTGTCTGTATCTTGTAATCTGTTCTGTTGATCCTCTGGTCTGTGTTTTTGCCAGTACCATGCTGATTTTATCACAGTAGCTTTGTAATATAATCTCAGGTCAGGGATTGTGATGCCTCCCCTCCTGCCTTGCCTTTGTTGCCCAGGATTGCCTTTGCTATGCTAGGTCTCTTTTGGTTCCAGATGAATTTTAGGAATGTTTTCTCTAGATCTTTGATGTATACTAATGGTATTTCAACTGGGATTGCATATGGCCATTTTCACAATGTTAGGTCTTCCTATGCAGGAGCAAGGAATATCTTTCCATTTTCTGAAATCCACTTCAATCTTTTTTCAGGATGCTATAATTTTACTGTATAAATCTTTTACTTCCTTTGTTATGTTGATTCTTAAGTTACCTCATTTTTTGGTAGGGATGTTATTGTAAAAAGCATGTTTTTTTTGGATTTCTCTATCAGTGTGTTCTTTGTTTGTGTGAGGAAACCCTAATTAATTTTTGAGTGTTGACTTTGTATCCTACTATTCTGCTGAATTTGGTCATTAAATCTACAAGTATCTTGGTGGAGTTTTAGGGGTCTTCTATATAGAGTATCATCATGTTATCTGCATAATGATTATTTCACTTCTTCCTTTCCAGTCATTATTCCTTTTATTTCTCTCTTGTCTGTTTGCTCTGGCTAACGTTTCCAGAACAATATAGAATAGGAGTAACGACAGTGGACATCCTTGTCTTGTTCCTGACTTTCAGCTGAAGACCTTCAGTATTTGCCTGTTTAGTATAATGTTGGTTGTTGGTTTGTCTGCAAGTGAGGATCTATAGTTACAATATAAACTCTAAGGAAATCACCTACTGATATAAGTAGATATCTGTTCAGTAGAACAACTTTACTTCCATTCACAGCAAAGCAATGTTTAACCATAGTAAGATATTTTGCTGTGGGCCTGTGGTTCTGTACATTCCAGATTAGATTTTGTTTCTTTTAAAAAATTAATTCATTAATTTGGTATAGGGTCTACATATACAACTCAGACTCATAGCAATCCTCCTGTCTCAGCCTCTCCTGTGTTGGGATTACAAGTATGTGCCATTGTGCCCTGTTTCAGGGCTGGTATATGCGTCCTGGGGTTCTGGGGCTGGCATGGCATGTGGAATTGAAGATCGAACCCAGATCCTCGTGCTTGCCAGGTAGGTGCTTAGGCTGCCAAGTTATCTCCCCAGCCCCTAGATTTTATTTCTTTTTAAAAATTTATTTATTTATTACGAGGTGTCACTGTGCAGCTTAGACTTGTAGTGATCCTCCTGTTTTCAGCCTCCCTAGCGCTGGGATTACAGCTGTGCACCACCATGCCTGGACTCGGTCAGCGGCTCAGTGCACCTGTGGGGGCCAGCCGGCCGGTGCAGCACGGGGTGCTGGGGATCAAGCCCCAGTCCATCCCCTTGCCTATCCCCTTACCTAAGTAGGTGCTTAGTCAGCTGAGCTATCTCCCCAGCCCTAAATTTTATATCTTTTTAAAAAAAATTTTATTCATTTATTTATGTGTGTGTGTGTGTGGCCAGCTCAGCCCACCAGGGGGTGGGGCTGTCTGGCATGTGGTGCTGGGGGATTGAACTGCGGTCCCTGTGCTTTGCTAAGCTTGTTCTAAGTAGGTGCTTTAGATCACTGAGCCATCTCACCAGCCCCTAAATTTTATTTCTTGATTCATCCTGTTCATCTGCATTTTGACTGCTGAATTGAACCCATTCCTACTGATGGCGGTGGCTCGCTGGGGTTGCTCATCCCTACTGCTGTGCTATTTACCTGTTGCAGCTTTGCTCTTTCCCTTCTATTTAATGGCTGGACACTGCTTCTTTCTAGGATGTCCTTGGGAATTTTTTGGTGTATACATATGGTGGTCATGAATTTCGTTTTTTTTTTTTTTTTTTTTTGGCGGAACCAGGGATTGAACTCAGGCCCTTGTGCTTGCCAGGGAAGAACTTCTTCCACTGAGCCATCTCCCCAGCTATGAATTTCTTTAGGTGCTCTTTATCTCAGAAACTTCTTGTTTCTCAGTTTTGAAGGATGTAGCAATCTGGGTTGGAAAAAGAAAACAAAATCTCATAATGAAAGAAAAGGATGATAAGCAATAGTGAATACGTTATGTGTTACCATCATTAAAGTAGCTACTTCGAGTTCAAGGTATGGGCATAAAAACATTCTCCAAATGATCTTGTCACAAGCCTTTCTTTCCAATGAACCAAGAGAAACTAGTGGTATAACGATCATATACTTTTTCTCCTTTTTCCATTCCTCCCTCCTCTCCCCCATCCTACTTCCTTTTGAGCAGTTGCTTCCCATTTCCTGACATCTGCTGTACATTTCAGACTGTGTTTGCTCTTTCAGCTTTTCTTACCAGGGAGACAATACAATGTTTGCACGTGCGAGTCTGACTTGGTTCACTTATGAGTATGGTCTTTTTTTTTTTTTTCCAATCTGATTTGTTTTTAATTAAGTATTATGGTCACATACAAATTTGTGCTCATGTTGTACCTTCCTCACTTTAGTCCTTCTCATGAGCTGACAGGAAGCACCACTACCAATCACACATACAACAGTAAAAGTTTTAGTCTTGTGTCTTTGAATAGCTGTTTAAATACTACCATGAACAGTAACTCAGTCTGACCTAAAGGAATCAAAAGTAGAACTTGCTGTTGTATCATGTGAACTCTTAAAAGGATCTGAATTTACAGAACTATAAAATATGAGATATGTTAAATATTCTTTGTTTGGTATTATACATACACCACACTAAAGTTCCTTTCAATAAGTAAAAGGCAGCACTTTTTAGATATGGGGAATTCTAAATAAATTGGCATAGTCAAGACTAAAAATACAGACATAGCTTTCTTGTCTTCAACCACTCCCTTTAACAGGCTAATAATCACAAACTGAAACAGTGGAGTCTTGCTTGGTTTAGAGACAATGAAAGATTCTCTCAGTATTTAAACATATTCACATACCCATTTATATAAATCTAAATATAAAACCAACCTTCAGTAGTTTTGAGATGACCTTCTCAATCTTTGTGAAAAGTTGAACATTACTAATCACGTCCAACCATGTATTTAGAAGGGAAAACAGTGATAGTATTTACTGAACTGGAATTAGTATTAAACCTTGAAGAAAAAAAACGATATACATTTAACTACAAGCCAATTTTATTTAAATCAGGACTGTCCAACAAAAATATTCTATCAGCCACTCACGATCTTAATTCTGGTGTATGAGATTAAATTATAGTACACATACAAAAGCCATGAGCCATTTCTGTTCTGTAATAAATAAGGCAGTGACTATTACTCATGAGTAGCCTTTTTGAGGTAAGCTATTAAGTCTGCCCTTTCTTCCTTCTTCTTCTTTTTTTTCAAAATTTTATTGATAAACAGATAGCAATGAGACAGTTTCAAATCAAATCGGAAGTACAGTTTCAACAAATAATACACTGCATATATTCTTCTTAGTGGTTAATTGCTGTACAAGATGCTCTCCCTTCTTCTTGATGCCAGCAAAGATCATTTTTGTTCCTGGGATGTACTTCTTGGGATTCTCCCAATACTCCATCAATGTATCCTCTCCCCAGGTGATACCTTTGTTCTTGTTGGCATCTGTGTAAGAGAATAAAGCAGCCTGATCTGTCTTCTGCCCAAAGAGACCATGGAGACTTGGCCCAGTCTTGTGCCTGCCTCCCTTCTCAACAGTGTGGCACTGGGCACACTTCTGTACAAAAATTTTCTTGCCTTTCTCAACATCACCCATTTTTAACCTGCTGCAGCTTCCGCGCTGGGTGGTCACCGGTCTTCCCTCATTACCACAAGGAAAGTTCTAGTGTAGAAGCCTGAGGTCCCACTCTCTCGAGTATGGTCTTAATTGCATCCATTTACCTATTAAAAGTCTCAAGTTTATCCTTTTCGATGGCATGTAGTAGTCCATTGTATAAAATGACCACACGTCTTCTATCCATTCCTCAGTTGGTGGGTATTTGGGTTGTTGCTAAGATTTCGGTAAGACAGATTGTGCTGCTATAAACATTGGTGTGCATATATCTGGTATGTTGTTTTTAATTCTTCTGGGAAAATACCCAGAAGGGGAATAGCTGGGTCAAATGACACCTCTAATCCTATATTTGTCAGGAATCTCCACATCAGTCTCCACAGTGGAGGGGCCGGCCAAATAGCTCAGCAGATTAAGGCGCCTGCAAGCAGGAGCAGGGGCTGAGGGTCTCATCCCTGGGCCTGCCCTGCTGGCCTCACCCCCCGGGGTGTGCTGAGATGGCAATTGAGACTGGACGTGGTGGTGCATGTCTGTAATCCCAGCTCTTGTGGGGCTAAAAACAGGTGGATTGCTATGAGTCTAATCTAGTAGTGAGACCTGGAACACCCTGTAGACCCTTCCCTAAAATTAAAAAAAAAAAAAAAAAAAAGATTCTTCACGGTGGCTGTACCAGTTTAACATTCCCACCAACAACGGAGAAGGGTTTGTTTTTCCCCACAGCCCCTCCAGCATTTGTTGTTGGTTGGTTTCTTGATGATAGCCATTCTTTCTGGAGTGAGATGGACTCCCAGCGTTGATTTAATTTCCATTTCCTGAATGACCAATGATGTGGAACACTTTCGTGCATTTATTTGCCATTTGTATTTCTTCATCCGAGAAGTGTGCATGCATCTCAGATGCCCAATTTTGGACTGGGTCTTTCATTTGGGAGGGGGGCTTGATGTTTTTCAAATCTTTATATGTTCTAGATAGAAGTCTGGAAGGACAACTGGCTAAAATTTTTTTCTGCTCTCTGGGTTGTCTTTTCATTGTATTGCAGATTTCTTTTTATATGCAAAAGTTTTTTTAGTAAGATGAGATCCCAGTTGTTAATTCTTTGAATTATTGCCCTGTGGTTTTGGTTTCTCTCTGGAAATCTCTGCCTTTACATATATCTTCAAGTTTCCTATCTGCTTTCTCTTTTGGTACATTTAGTGTGTCTGTTCTAATATTTAAATCTGTGATGTGCTTTGACTTTAGTGCATGGTGATAAATGTGGGTCTAGCTTTAGTCTTTGGCATGTGGAAAGCCAGTTCTTCCAGAACCATTTATTAAGAGGTTATTTTTGTTACATGTTCGGCCTTTTTATCAAAGATAAAGTGATTGAGTGTGTTTGAGTTTGTGTCTGTCTCAGTTACTCCTCTCGTTGCTGGGACAAGTACCTGACCCTCAAAATTAGGGAAGGAAAGGTTTATTTAGCTCATAGTTACCAGTGGTTTCAGTCCATATTTAGCTGGCTGCAAGGCAGGTGGCACATGGCAGAGAGCAACTTTTCATGGTGGTGGCAAAGAGCAGAGAGCAAGGGAAGGGGCTGCAGCAACAAGGGCTGCAGAGAGCAAGTCTGTCTCCCTTAAGTTGCATTCAGGCTGTCCGCCCCAGGTCAGGTGTAGCACTCACACCGAAATTCCCAGCAGCACTCACACCCATAATCCCAGCACTGGATCATGGATTAATCACAAAATTTAGAAGTCCACCCCATGACTTCATGAGGCTTTGGAGGCGGGGACAAATTACACAAATTGTGACAGTCTGTATCAGAAATTGTTTTCTTTTAGAATTTGAAGCATTTCATTTAGGGTTTGTGCTGGGTTGCAATTCTGATGAGTTTTTTAAAAAATGGGTTTGTTTAGAGGTAGTTATTAGCTTTTCTCTAACAACTTTTAAGATTCTATTCTTATGTTGGATTTCTGGTATTACTATTGTTGTTATTATTATTATTATTATTATTATTATTATTACTACTACTACTACTACTACTATATTTTGTTTTTTGAGACAGGGTTTCACTATGTGTTTCAGGCTAGCTTTGAACTCACCATGTAGCCCATGTTGGCCTTGAATTCATAGTGATCCTCCTGCCTCAGCCTCCTGAGTGCTGGGATTATAGAAATGTGCTGCCACACCCAGCCTTGGTGTTCTAATTATTATGTGCTTTTTTGTTTTGGTCATGACTCTGGGATTTTGTGTGTCTTGCTGATCTTCATATTAAATTGTATTTTACATTTGGAAAGTTTTCTACTAATTATTTTTGTAAGCAGGTGTTTACAGGCCCTTAGTGTTGTTTTCTCATTTTTCTTTAATTCCAGGTACTCTTATATTAGTCTTCGTTGAGTCGTCTAGTGGTTGTTGGATCTGTTTTTCATATTCTCTTACTGCTTTTAGTGAATCTTCTGAAAGCTATCAACAGTCCTGCCTTCTAGGTCTGACACTTTGTTCTCCCACTGTTCACTTCTGCTGTCCAGGGAGCTTGCTGCGTGGTTCAGTTGTTTAAAGCGCCATTTGGGCAAATGCAGTCAGGCGTAGAGGATTGCAGTTTGATCCTCAGCTCCAAAAACCACACCAGACCTGCCCTTAAGGCAGCCTGAACTAGCAAAAAAAAAAAAAAAAAAAATCCTACTTCCTTTTGCTGTCCATACCTTCAATTATATCTTCAGTCTTTCTGGGATTCTGTTTGGCACATTTTTATGGGCTTGCATTTTCTCCTTTGCTGAGCCTTCATTCTTTGCTTCCTTCTTTAGCTCCCCTGGGTTTTTACTAGTGTCTTCTCTAGACTTGTTGATCATTTGTTCCATCTGCTTAGTTACACCTTGAATAACTTGAATATCTTGAATTTGCCACGTACCTTGTTGAACTGTTTTGTTACTGACATGTCTGCTGTGTGGCTTGTGACTTCTTACCCCTTGATGTCCCCTGCATCAGCTTTGGTGGAGTTTGGAGTTTTGGAGGACACTTTAATGCCTTGTTTTGTTTGTTTTCTGTGCTGGGTTTGCATCTTCTTTTTTGATCCAGTGCCTTGTTTTCTGGGCACGAACCACTGTTATGTTTATGACCTTCTGGCAATCCAGATACTGGCCCAGTCGGCAGCACTGACCATGTCACCTTGGCTATCGTAGTATAGTTGGTGACAATAATGATGTCACATATCAACTAGATACTGAAACACCCTAAGAACCTTCCAGAAACCGGCGTATACTAGAGCGAAGAACGCTATGATTTTTGTGTAGATATCTTGATAATCCAGATCTCGACCTACAGTAGATTAGACCACCAGTTTTAGCTGGATTGATGCAGAGGTACTGTTACGGTTTGTGTCTAGTTGTACCCCCAAAGCTTCATGCAGTCATGGGGTGGAATTCTAGAGTTTGTAATTAATTCATGATCCACTGGGATTATGGGTGTGAGTGCTGCTGGGATTATGGGTGTGAGTGCTGCTGGGATTATGGGTGTGAGTGCTACACCCAGCCTGGGGCGGACAGCCTGAATGCAACTTAAGGGAGACAGACTTGCTCTCTAAGCATTGTTGCTGCTACTCCTTCATTTTGCCCTCTTGTTCTTTGCTGCTGCCATGAAAGGTTGCTGTCTGCCATGTGCCACCTGCCTTGGAGCCAGCTAAATATGGACTGAAACCTTCAGTAACTGTGAGCTAAATAAACCTTTCCTTCCTTCATTTTGGGTGTTGGGTATTTGTCTCAGCAATGAGAAAAATATAACTAAGACAGTTACAAGAACTGAAGTAGACCATTGGACTAAATAAATGCCTTCTCCTGCAGATCCATGCTTACCAAAGCTTACACCTACCAAGCCTGGACTCCACCATAGTGTGCAGGCCTCTGGATCTTCCTCCCTTGAGCTACAAGCTCAGGAGGTCTCTCTTCAAGCCATGGCTGCACCTTGCCTGGTCTCTGCTGTAGGGAAATTTCAGTTTACAGGGAAATTTTTCTGGATGTCGGTATCATCCTCAATCAGCCCTGTCTTTTGGTCGTCTCCTCTGCTGCCTCGTGTTGAGGAGAACTGAGGGGCAGAGCCGGCTAGGATTTGCAGTTCTGTGGCTCCTCTCCAGTGCTGGGCAAGTGAGGCCTGCGGCTGGGGTGGGGGCAGGGCTGTACTACAACGAGGATGAGGCTGCAGTTGCTGTGGGTGGGATACCCGGGGCTTCTCCTCCTCTCCCCCAGGGCACTTGAGGTGGCTGCGTTGATGCTGAGTTGAGTGAGGCCTCTCTCTTCTCCCCTGAGGCAGCTGAGGCCTCTCTTTGGTGGTGTAAGCTGGGTGGGGCCTCTCCTCTCCTGCAGGCCAGCAAGTGGTGGGTGTAGGCAGCTGGGGGTTCCAGACAGGGTATGTCTGTGCTACTACTAAGTGATTTACAGCACCAGATTTATTCTTACTCAAACCATAAAAATTCAGAATATTGCCTTAAAAATTGTAATTATCTCTTGGCTTATTGCATGGAGGTCCTAAGGATCTAATCCTTTAATTTTTTAGCCTAATCTACAATCCTAATTTTTAATCTAAGCCTAATATTTTTAGCCTACTCTTTAATGTTTTTGCCTAATCCTTTAATTTTCCCCCCCCAAATAACAAAAATCTACTCCTACAGTTTTTCATTGTTGTTAAAGTCATTTCTCCCCTTTGGGTGTGCAAGGAATAATAAAAATACTTGGAATCAAACACGCAATATAATATTCTAACCCAAGGGGAAGGAAGAAAATATTCATTGGGGGATGTATCTATTTTACCATATTAGATTTGAGTGAACTACATCTCTTCCAAGATTTTTTTTTGACAAACATCTTGAAAGCAAGCATTAATATTCAATTATTTGTCCAATCTTGCATAACTATAACTGTTAAACTGTGCAACAGATTTGACATCAAAAATAGATGAAATAATGACCATTGTTAATTAGGTGTTACTGTTCTGAAAATCTGTAACATATGTATTGTTGCATGTTACCCTGTTTCTGTCATTTTTTTTTCTGTTTGTGCTCTTCAAGATAGAATAAATTTTTTAACAAAAAAAATTTTTTTTGACAGATAAAATATGCTTTATATCTTTCAATTTAGGAATCGAACTATGGACTTAGCAAACAAATTCTGAGACTATTGAATAGAGCCAGGTATGTAAACTCTATTTTCAAATAGTGTATTTGAAAAATTTCATTGAATTAAGAGAAAGTAGCTGTATATCTATCCTAACTATTTTGTATATACAGATACAAAATTTTATTTATTTATTTATTTATTTTTGGCAGAATTGGGGATTGAATTCAGGTCCTTGTGCTTGCCAGGCAAAGATTTGTACTAATAGTGTTTGGACAGGATATCATGTCTGCATCTTGTACTATGAATAATTACTACAAAGGCAACAATATGCAATGTATTAATTAATGAAACTGTGAAACTGTCTCATTGCTATTTGTTTCTCAATAAAATTAATAATTAAAAAAAAAAAGAGTTGGAGAAGAAGCTCCGTGTGAAAGTCCTGGGTTCAATTCCCAGTACCACAAAAGAAGAAAGAAATGAAAATTTAAAAGAAAGGAAGGAAAAAAGTAGAAATTAGGATTTTGAATCTGTATCATTGTTGCACCGGTGATTAAACCCCGGTACCTGTGCTTGCCTAAGAAGGAGTTTAGTCTGCTGAGCTCTCTCGCCAGCCTTAACCTGTGTAATTCCTTACTCATTTGCTGGGGTAGAGATATTTCAGGACAGGAAAGAGAGGGAGGGTGGAGGGCATTTGGAAGTGACCACAGCTTGATATGCATAGCGCCTATGGTCATGCCTAGGTGAATCCCATTACTGTACACAATTTTATGCATAAAAATGAGAAAATATGGAGAAAAAAGAACCTCTGTGTTATAACCTGACATATGCGCCGCCATCTTGTTCTGTATGCGCCATTTTAAATGCTGTAACTTTCCACTGTGCCCTTTCTCCACTTGAGAACCTGCAGTTGGGCCTTTTTCACGCTGTCCTTTGTGCACACCTGAATCTAGTTCCAGCGCAATGCCCTGTTCTTGCCCTCGTTCCCAGCTACAAACTGTTCCCGCCACTGAACCTGTTGTTCATTAGAAACAGGTAATTTTTCAACTGTAGCCCCTAGATGAACCCTTGATGTCAGCTTTTGTGGTTTATTGGCTTAAATACCCACTCCCCTCATCCTCCCGGCACGCATCTCAGCATCTTGCTGGGGTGTCTGCTGCTGGGTACCAGCTAAAATAAAGCGCTTCTTTTCTTTTTGAGCCGGCCTCATTTTTGGGTTACAATACTCTGGAGTAGGTGTCACCTCTTTCTTGAGTGTAAAATTCATGCGAGAAGCATGTACATTTAAAACAAGAAGGAATACCTCAGGTTTGAGAAACTCTGTGGCTTTTAATATAAAAGGATAAAAATAATTGTAGATTGAAGTGAAATGATTACAAGGGAAAGGGAATTTTTTCTACTTGTATGATACTTCAGTGTTTTGAAGTGAAATTGTGGTGGGCAGCTGAATTAGGTAGAAATATAAGTAGACAGACAGGACCAGGCCCTCAAAGAGATAGTATGGAAGACCAGGTGACTTTACATCTTTGGAAGAGACAGACACTCCCTGCTGTGGGCCAGACCTCAAGACAAAAAGAGGAAACAAATACAGCTACATACTTCCTAGGGACGGGCATCAGGGATTGATATTCTCAATAGGTATCGATCACCTTGAAAGAGCCCAAGTGAGTCACTAACCCCAACCCCCAAGAGGAAGAGACCCTGTCCTGTCTTCATGCCCACTTGCTATGTGACTCACTTCCTCATTTGGTCCTGGATTTAATCAATTTTACCTGAACAATGGTGCTTGTAATCCCATTGGTTGACCACAGTTTTGTCCCATCTAGGCGAGTTCCCATGTTCTCTACCACCTCAGACCTGTCTCACTGCATGGTTTGCCTCTATAAAAGTCCCTGGAAGAGACAGCTTCCCAGGGGCCACCGACTCGGGGTCCCCCTCTCTCAGACAGAAGCTTTCTTTCCTTCAATAAGGAAATAAAGCAATATTCTGCTTATAACCTCTGTTTGTTCCTAAAATTCATTCTTTGGTTTTAGAGAACACAAACTCATCCCAGGTACCTTTCAGGTCAGGAGTTTCATTTTTCCCCCCCATATCATTTGGAGGTCATCCACTGAGGTCATTTTTCCCATATATCAAAATGTCCCACACTGGTGGTATGGGGGGGTTATAGCACCAATGTGTGAGTGAGGAGGTGTTAGTTTAGAAAACAGCATGAGAGAGAGAGAGAGAGAGAGAGAGAGAGAGAGAGAGAGAGAGAGAGAAATACATGTTTTTGCTCTTGAAAATCTCATAAACCTTCTGCACTCCAAATGTTTGTCTCACAGAGTTTAATAAAGAACACTTTAGCTGTTATAAGAGCTGAGGGCAGGATTGGGATTCAAATCACACAGTGAAACTAGAAACCTCCCTCCCGGTGACCCCTCTGTCCAGCGGCCTCACTTCGAGGGTCCTCCTGCAACCCCTGCTCCTGTTCCCACCTGGCTTGCAGCCCTCTCCTCCTGGTCGTGCATCCTTTCTGCCTCTCTGGCCAGCCTGTCGGCCTCTAAAGCCTGGGCCAGCCTCTGCCTGGCCTTCTTCACTCTGTCCACCTGGTTCTGGATGTCTGCGGCAGTCACGTGATGACTAGAAGAGGGAGGTAAGAGATGCAAAGCTTCCGGGATCATCTCTTTCCAAAATGGAGACAGGCCAGGGGCAGGCTGCACGCTCTCGGCAGCTGATCGGCCCAGGGATCCACGTCTGTGTCCTACAGTCATTATTCTAGAGGCTTTTGCAAATTCTGACTGGCTCAAAACTTCTTTGCTGCCTTGGTGCTTGAGCGCCTGCAGGCTCCAGCTGGCACAGAGCTGCTGGGGCTTCTCCAGCTTGTCCTCCTGCGGACCACAGCGGACCTCGTTGCCAGGGTGGGCGGTGATGAGAGTGACTGGCCTCGGGAAGATGCAGCTGGTCAGTCGCACAGGCAAGGCTGAGCCCGCAGCTGCCCTCTGCTTGCCCTTGGAGGCAGGAAGTGGCTTCTTCTGTAAATTCTGGGGTATCATGCATTTGTTCTTCCCCTTTAAGACAGAATAAAATGTGAACGCTAGACAAAGTGGGGGCTGAAGACTGCTCTCGGCTCTGCAGGCTTTCCTGGGTTCTTTGGGCCCTTCCGCTCCCCTGTCCCTGCAGAAGGGGGTCTGAAACCCGTGGGTTACAGCCATCTGCAAATGCTGTTACAACTCACACGTCAGGATGTCACCCAAGGCGGTCTGGGGTGGGCCCCGGTGACCCTGTGCCTGCCTCCTCCTCTGCATACCTGGCTCGCTTCTCTTTCCTGACACTGATCTCACACGCTGCCGTCCCAGCCCACCCAGATCTGAGAGACCAGGAAGATGCGCTACACACAAGGTGACTGACCTAGGACACCTGAGTATGCACGAACCGGCTCAGACGTCCGTATGCCACAAAATCAGCCCACGGAGCTTTTCTCAGAATAAAAACCCAGTATTAAGGGATAGATGGCTCAATTCTTAATCTTAAATGTGTAAATATTTAGGAAACTTTCCCTGAAACATCATTTTGTTTGAAAAGTAATGCTTAGTTGTCCACCATGATGCCTGCCTGCAGTTCCAGCTATCAGAGTGGCTGAGGCAGGAGGGTACAAGAAAAGTCTGAGCAATACAGTAACATTCTGTTTTAGAAAAGAAAGACATAACTGTGAAAATTAAGGAGCTTTGCCCGTCTTTGATTGTAGAGGTTGAGTTCAGTATCTTTGCTTTGTACGGAGCCAACCACCCAGCACTTATTTTTACATTTTAGTTTGAGAGGGTCTTGTTTATTTGCTAAATTTCCAAGGCTGGGCTCCAATTTCTAGTCCTTTTGTCTTAGATTTCTAGAATGCTGGGATTATGGGTGGGAATCACCACACCCAGTTCCAAGAAACTTAACCTGAGGAGAATGTACACCCGGACCGTGGGGGCCATCCTGACAGTCGCCACACTCACCGCGGAAGGCTGGCTGGGCACTGGGTGTGTCGCGGGCTCCCCCATGGTCACAGCTACTGTCCTGCTGTCTTTGCTCCTGAGATGCAGACAGGCCGAGGCTTGCTCCAAAAGGTAGTGAGACCTGCATGTCCTTCCCCTTATATAAAGGAGGGGAAAAGATAGCCCAGTCAGAGGTGAAGTCAACCCGCCCATAATCCAATCTGCAGATAATCTATTCTCCAGATCAACCATAGGACACATCCCTGGGATATGAGGGACTCTTCAATCTCTATACAGAAACAAAATATGTAGAGTTACTGACATGGTCAGATACTTTTCGTGAATAAAATGTTAACACTTTCTTTTTCTTTTGTAGGGAGAAGCTAAACTTGCAGTTAATATCACCAATATGTTTCATTAGAACATTTAATATTTTGATTGACAAGTAACAATTATATGCATTTGCAGGATAAAACCTGCTCTTTTGATCTGTGAGATTTGATCTCTATAGATTTAATTTTTTT